CAAATACGAAAAATAAATAGAAAACAATTTTGCCACACCAAGCCAGCCCTAATAGCCGAGACTTGTCCTCCGATTGGCAGCAGTTGCGTTTATATTTATTAACAAATGGGGATGATAAGCATTTTTAGCGGCTGTGCGTTGGCAATTAATGGTCAGACCAACCTGCAACCGAGCCTATTTATGGCTTAAATGATCAAATGGAAAACAAAACTTGTCATTTCTAAAGCGGAAAAATTTTGCCCGGCAACGAGAGCAGGTTACGGTCAACGTTAATATCATTTTCTCGCCAGGAAATGTCAAGTACAACCGATTATTTGGCCAACTTTACGCTTATTCTGCGAGGCTGTCATTCCAGAATGAGGCTCCTACCGACGTCCAGGTCGAGAAGGGACATTGAAGATCGGTTGCATTTCACGCGCGATCCGGTATCCCATCTGATTAGTGTCGCTTCCAGTTGCATTGGCCAGGTGAAACTCGATTTCAAATTGATACAATTGATGCAGCAATTTGTCAAAATCCCATAAACTGCCTTCCATTTGGAAGGTGTAAGAACATGTGATCTTCGCCAATCTCTACAATTCAATTCTGAAAAAGGTGATGTGATGTTGAGCAAGACAGCTTCCATCTGCCAAAGTCATTTTTTCATCGAAACGTTAGTTGAACTCTCAACAAAACGATAATATGTTATCAGTAGTAAGAAATTTAATCACAATATTTCGTGTATGCTAATAATGGCCTGGTAACTGAATTTTTCCAATCAGAAATGAGCATTCCCCAAAAGCTAGTCTCATCTCGGCTGGTGCAATTGTCGAAGGAGCAAAGATGTACTTGCTATAGCAATCGATTATACTACTTATTTGTTGTTTATAAGTAGCTTTTGCTCTTTAACTTTGAGCATAAAAGTTGAATATATCTCATTTATATGCTCTACTTGTAGCATCTAAAATTTTATTATACAAAGAAGGAAAAAGCACTTGATGATATCAAAAACCATAATCTAGAAAATATCAAATTAAAACGTTGTTTGAGACAGTAGACATCAGGTACACTTTGGAAGTGCTTCCGATATGCGATAAAGATGACTATAAAAGTATGTACAGTATGAAATATAAGGTATAAACTGCATAGTTTCATACTGTATGGAAGAGTAAATAGTATATCTAGTAGCATGATGCAAGATGTAGTACAATCAAATATTTCCAATTTGTGCTTAGAAATTAGGCGAAAAGCATACTAAAAGTAAAAATAATCTTCTCTCAACTGGCATCGCCAAAAAC